ATGTTCCAGCAAGGAAGTTCTGAAAATGTTTGAAAAGGTAATAGTCGGTTGGTGAAAGGTCTGGAGAATATGGCGGGTGAGACGCAATTTTCGGTAAATTTCGTCGATTTCTTCACAGTAGGACTCTGCTGTGATGGTTTGGCCTGGTGACAAAAAGTTATAGTGGATCACACCAGCCGATGACTACCACACTGTGACCATAACCTTTTTGTCGTGAGGATTCGGCTTTGGAAATTGCCTCAGGGGTCCGCCGGCATCCAACCACTGTCCGAAACGTCTCCTGTTATCATACATGATCTCCTTTTCATCACACGTGACAATTCGGTCCAAAAGCGGGTCGTTTCTGTTGCGCAAAAGCAGTGAAGAAGAAACCTCGAGACGTGCCAATTTCTGCCGGTCACTCAAATTGTGGGGCACCCACTTTTCACCTTCCCAATGCGTTTCAGACCATCTGCAACAGTGGATTTGCCAACGCCTAGCTTTTCTGCAATCTCTCGAACTGTTTGGGATGGGTCAGCCTCCACAAACGCCTTCAAATCCTCGTCAGGTATTGCTTTAGGTCGACCGCTACGAGGTTCATCTTCAAGGCTGAAATCTCCAGAACGAAATTTGTCCCATTGTCGCACGGTGCTTTCTCCCTATTGGGCCCCCACACCTGGTCGGGCCGTAAACGCTGTGTTGTGTTTTCGAGCTGTCTCGACTGCGGATTGACCCAATTTGTAGTTGAAGAACAATATCGTCCTGAAGTTGCTCTTTTGACATGCTTGAAAAACTCTTGAAAAAAGGGGTCAATCAAGCAATGGTGAAACGGCAATTATACCATCAGATAGCGCAAAAATTCTCTTCAGGATGTACTACTGATAAGTAATACAAAACGCGGTGACGAAACATTCCGGAGCAACGCCTAATAGCCTGAGAGAGAAAGTTTGAAGTCAGGGCGAAGGGAAAAGCTTCGGTTCTTTTTGATCTGATTGTTCTCATGAATGTAGTCTCCGGCTTTCAAAATGTTGTGGTTATCGCCTTTTGGCAGAGTTCGCACTTATAGCTCCGCCTCACTACAGAATCCACAAGCACACCCTCATACAAATGGTGCCTTTCTTACCGTAAGTATGGCTTTCGGAAAGAGATTGTCTTTTCTAGGAACTTCCAATGGCAGGCGTTGCCTTGATATTCACTCTACTACGTGGACTCACATGGCCACTGTTTTCTATTGTCTACGGAAAACTGTTCCTGGTAATAACTTTCCATTCATTTCAACGCTTCAAGGCACAAACTAGAAATTATTTCGAAAAACACATAAACCTACTTGAGCCAAAGATGTGCCATGCGAAGGTGTTCGGAAGCGCAGCTATCGCATTTCGAGCTCGACCTTTGTTCACCCTGTATTTCTACTGACTCAGAATTCTTAAAGACAGTTGGCACGATAAATCGGTACTCGGCCAAAAATATTAGCAGTGCCCTATATAGTAGGACAATGGCGAAAAAACGAAGTGAAAGGGTCAAAAAAATGCGAAGAAAACCTTCGTTCTCAATGACTCAGAAAGCAATTTCGGACGAGTTTCCCGTAGGCATCTTGCCAATAACCGCTACGGTAGGTACGGCTGCACGTATGTACTCATATATCCATGCAGCACCGCGGCCGCTTCATCAATCCCTTCGCTTCATATTTTACTTAGCAAATGAAGCAATACGAGCATCAGGTACGGTCGTCCATTTGTGGGCGGGCGGGCGCGGTGGGCGTTCGGGTCGGTATGTAGCTTGATAGGGCCTTATAAGGGTACCTTCTTTGAAAAGGCGCTACACAGCGCC